GCAAAGCCCAGAGCCCCCACGGGTGCCTCCCTCCAGCCAGCGCGCCCAAGCTCAGCATCCTGTCCCCTCTCTCGCAGGTGATGTCCCCCGCCGGCGCATCGCCACCCAGGAGGAGGTGCGCTTTCCCCTGCAGCACGGGTATGTGTCCCCATCCCCTTCCCTCCCTCCCTCCTGCCCCATGGCCGCCCCACAGCACCGGGCTGAAGCTCCTTGTGCCCAGGTGGAGGCGGGAGGTGCGGATCAAGAAGGGGAACCACCGCTGGCAGGGTGAGACCTGGTACTACGGGCCCTGCGGGAAGAGGATGAAGCAGTTCCCAGAGGTGATCAAGGTACGGTCCCCAGGGAGAGTGGGGTTGGGGATGACCCGGGGTCCTGGTCTGCCACGGTCCCCCCCGACACTGCCAGAGCGCCCGACCACAGCAGACGGACGCTGCTGTGAGCCGGGAGCTATGGGGCCCAGAGCACTGAGCCCCCTTCATGGACTTCCTCCTCCTCCTCCCCTCAGTACCTGAGCAGGAACGTGGTACAAGACGTCAGACGCGAGCACTTCAGCTTCAGCCCCCGCATGCCGGTGGGAGACTTCTACGAGGAGCGGGACACGCCGGAGGTGGGTCTGGGGGCAGCTTGAGCTGCCCTGTCCCCTCCCCGGCCCCGCTGTGCTGCGGGACGTGACCCGGATTTGTGCCGCAGGGTCTGCAGTGGGTGAAGCTGAGCCCCGAGGAGATCCCCTCCCGCATCCAGGCCATCACGGGCAAGCGCGGGCGACCCCGCAACGCTGAGAAGGCCAAGCCCAAGGAGCCTCCGGCTGCGAAGCGCGGACGAGGCCGGCCTCCCAAGGTCAAGATGGTCGACCTGCTGAGCAAGACGGACGCGCGGCTGCTGAAGAGGCTGGAAGCCCAAGGTACCCCCCTCCCCGGCCCCACTGGCTCGGGGTGGCTGCATCAGCCCCTCGCAGCCTGGCTCTGGTGGGACCCCAATGGCCGGTCCATCACCTCCCTCTCTCTCTGCTCTCACAGAGGTGCTCAGCGATGAGGACAAGCTGAAAATGAGCAAAATCAAGAAGAAAATGAGGCGGAAGGTACGAGCGGCTGCACGGGGCTCGGGTGGCTCTGGGGGCACTCTGGGTCTGGGCCAGGGGCTTCCCTGGTGCGGGAAGACCACTGCGTCCCTGAGGTGGTCTTGTCTCTTCCAGGCCAAGAACAAGCAGAAGCAGGAAGCCAAAGCCCCCAGAGCGAAGGAGACCAAGAAGAAGTCTAAGGTGAGTCTGCAGGGTACGAGGGGGCTGGGAAGGGGGCAGGAGATGGAGCCGCTCTCCCCATGCATCCCGGGGTCTGTCCTCAGGCCAAGGAGAAGAAGGGCAAACCAGAGAAGGACAAGGACAAAGCGCGGCCCAAGGAGAAGAAGGGCAAAGGGGCTCGGAAGGCGGACAAGGGCCTGCTGGCCCAGCGGCGCCTGGAGGAGCGGCGGCGGCAGCAGCTCATCCTGGAGGAGATGAAGAAGCCCACAGAGGACATGTGCCTGGGGGACCACCAGGTACGCTGGGGCACGGGGGGGCTTGGCTGGGGCAAGCTGGTGAGCCGACAGCGTGCCCGGTGCCTCACTGGCCCTGACCGCCCCCTCTCCTTCCCCGCAGCCCCTGCCAGCCTTCTCCCGCATCCCGGGCCTCATCCTGCCCAGCCGCGCCTTCTCCAACTGCCTCAC